AAGATCAAGAAGCACTCATCTGGATATGCTGCATTCTACTGTAATGGTTTAATCGCCCACCATATATGAACATACAATAATATATTTATTTTTCAACGTTTTTTTTTTTTTAATTTATTTATTTTTGGGACAGAGAGAGACAGAGCATGAACGGGGGAGGGGCAGAGAGAGAGGGAGACACAGAATCGGAAGCAGGCTCCAGGCTCCGAGCCATCAGCCCAGAGCCAGACGCGGGGCTCGAACTCACGGACCGTGAGATCGTGACCTGGCTGAAGTCGGACGCTTAACCGACTGGGCCACCCAGGCGCCCCACAATAATATATTTAATTAATTAACACTTCTGTTGTTTTTTTTTTTTAATTTTTTTGAAATATCATGGAGAACACCCTCATACGTGTATCTTTGTACATTTTACAATATTTCCGTATAATGGATTCCTCAAAATAGAATTCCTCAAAAGAGTATGCACATTTAAAATGTTAATAGACACTGCAGCAGTGGGGTTCAAGACTAGAACTCCCCTTTCAATGGAAATTATATACCAAAGGGTATAAAACAGATATAAGTAAAGTTGCTTTTTAAACGAGGATGGAAATCTAGAAGTTGCCTCCATTCCTTTGTTGACCAAGGCAGTCCTGGGGGCATCTCCACAGAGCTCTTCAGGCATCCTCACAGAGCTCTGCAGGGGTTGGAGCCTAGCTTGAAAACCACAGGCCTGAGATTTACTCCTTTCTTGGTGGCTTTGGCTTTGTGAGGCTATGAGGTTGCTCAATACCTTCTCCTCATCTCAGGTGTATAGGTTAACCAGCTAGATTCCCCATGCTGCCTTTATTATTATTATTTGATATGCAAACTTAAAAGTACATAAAATGTAAACATTTTATAAACAAATGTAAAAGCCTAATAAAATAGCATGATGCACATACCTCTATAGGCACTACCCAGATGAAGAAATAGAACCCTACTAGCATCCCATGCCAAACACAACCCCCTCATCCCACCCCAAAGGTAATCACTGTACTAACATATATAGTAGTCGCCCCCTTGTTTTTCATTATACTTGTACTCTAGAAAGTATTATATATAAATCAGTACACTATAGTTTCTTTTTTTCCTTTTGGAGGGACTTCATATCAAAGGGATAATACAGCAGCCATTTGGTCTAATACTGTTTTTGTGAAATTTTTAATTTTTATGTGCTATTGCATATGGTTATAGTTTGTAATTTTTATTGCTATAGGACATTCAATTTAAAAAAAATTTTTTTAATATTCACTTGTTTTTGAGAGACAGAGAGACAGAGCACGAGCAGGGGAGGGGCAGAGAGAGAGGGAGACACAGAATCTGAAGCAGGCTCCAGGCTCTAAGCTATCAGCACAAAGCCCAATGCAGGGCTTGAACTCACGAACTGTGAGATCTTGACCTGAGCTGAAGTCAGATGTTCAACCCACTGAGCTACACAGGTGCCCTGATAAGGCATTCAATTTTATGAATACACCATAATTAATTTATCCACTCTATTTGTTGATGGGCATTTGGCTGTTTTTAGTTTAAGGCTGTTATAAATAATGCTGCTATGAACTTTCTCATACCTATCTTCTAGTTCACATAGTCTTACATTTCTATTTCACAAAAAGCTAGAGATAGGATTGTTGGGACATAGGACATGAACGTGAACTTTCTATTCTAGGCTGTTTTGCCAAGTAAACAAACAGCTCTACAAAGTATTAAAAAAAAAGTTTGTTTTAAAAAAGTATTTGTTCTGTAGATTACCTGAGATCCACGTGTAATTGCAATAATCAGTTCTCAGATATTTTTCATAATATCTATAAAATATGGGATTGTACAGGGTTTCTTTTGTGGTAATGAAAATATTCTAAAATTAGTGGTTATGATTACACAACACTAAATATACTAAAAAACCTCTGAATTATACACTTTAAAAGAATAGACTTTATGGCATGTGAATTATTCTCAATTGTCCGTATAAATGAACAAACAAACTCCCAAATGACAATAAGAATTCAGGATTGTTGGGGCACCTGGCTGGCTCAGTTGGTCAAGCGCCCGAATCAGTTGGTTAAGTGCCCAGCTCAGGTCATGATTTCACAGTTTGTGAGATTGAGCCTGATGCAGACTCCTTGCTGACAGGGCAAGCCTGCTTGGGATTCTCTCTCTCCCTCTATCTCTCTGCACCTCCCCTGCTCGCTCTCTCGCTCTCTCTCAAAATAAACATTTAAATATAGATTTAAAGAAAAAAAAAGAGTTCAGGACTGTGGAAGACAGAAGCCATGTGATACGAGACTGTTTCAACCTCCAGCCAACCTACCAGGAATTATGTGTGGGGGGTGTGGTGGGGAAAGGAGCGGAGAATTGGGGGCAAGCTAGGGGGGGATAGGTAAAGGAGAGAGGACAGTGATAGCTTTAAATGGTAGCTTAGAAAAATGTTTTGGTAGCTTGTATTATTTGTTTATGGGAAATAAGGAAAAGAAAATGGAATAAGGTTGGTGGTGTACTTTAAGCAATGATCATGACTTTCTGATCTGCAGATATCAACTCTCCACATCCCAAGGAGTGTTGTTATGTTCACAGAATACATGAAGAAAATTGAGTTTTAGGGATAGAACTGGGGGTCACAGGGTTAATATATATATATATATATTATTAATATATAATAATATATAATATTAATAATGTAATTATATAATATATAATTAAGAATGATGCTCACAATCACAGTTAACCCTTATTATTTCATATTTATTTTGTATTTGTTATAAGATTTCAAGTTCTGTTATAGCACTTACTAACTGTGTGACCGTGAGGAAGCTACTTAGCTTCTCTTGACCTTACTTTCTTCATTCAGTAAGCTGCTATTGTGCATTTCAGTTCTGGAAAGTATGTCATGGGAATTGCATTGTCCCTCCTCTGCTTTACTTAGTAGTAGATACACCAGTGAGAAGGAGCATACACTTATCCAACTCTTCCCCTTGCACACTCCCAACATAATCCCCTTAATGAGGTAAGGCTGCTGACAAGAGACAGGGACATCTCCTGGGTCAAGAGAACACCGAAAACTGCCTCGCTGCTCGAAACTAGAGAAAAGAGGAACATCGGAAAAATAACGTCTCAACAAATCATCTTGTCACATAAGCATCGTGCTAGCTGAAGAAGTCTAAGCAGTGGAATTACTACAAAAGCCCTTGTTTGAATTGTATGGTATTCTGTGCCTCTTAGGCTCTGGTATGGGAAATAATCTTTTTAAATCCATAAATGACTCTTTGAAATACATCTTTTTACCTTTTTTAAAGTACAGTTGGGGATAAGCTCATTTTTGTTAAGTATAGGTAAGTAACACAACTCATGTCAGTTTTGTTCATTTAGAAGGTTTAGGGACCTGTAAAGCGCCCAGAAAATTCCAACAGGCTGTTGCTATCAAATGAATCAAGATGGCTTCTTCAGCAGCTGAATATCACTCTATATAACACTTTCCTTCTATAAATGAAAGCCTTGTTTTATAACTGGACTGGATGCTTCTGATTTTATTGGAACTATACTAAGAAGCTGGTTTGCTGTGAATTCCTGCCTTGTGGCTAAAGGTGCACAAAGTCAATACAGTGCCTGAGCTGCCCCTGGGTCTCGCGCCACCCACGTCCCAGGTGGAATTAAATGTCCTCAAGTAGGCTACTTTGAAATTCTAGTTTTTAAAGCATGCTTTTCAGAGCAGCAAAAACACAAATGCCTGTGTGTATATTTACCGCACCTTATGCATCTCATACATAAAAGCTGTATTGAACATTTATGAGGGTTCTCCTCTGAAAAACTGCAGATCATAATAGAAAGTATGTTTTTGCATTTTTACTCAACCCTCAGACTCCAATAGAATGAGGGCCTAATGGAGCCAAGAAAAAAGAGGGAGTTGCTTACCACAACATACAGTTTTCCTGGCACAAATAAATCTGTCTCACTCACTCAGCCCTTGAGGCAAAGGAACAAAAGAACCCAAGAAGTTCCAGAGAATGCTTTGCTCACATCTACCCATGCCCCTGCTCTTTTTCTGCACAGGGAGCCAAAGGGGAAGAAGTAATACAGGCAGTGAACATGAGCTCTGCAAGACGGGGTGAAAGGGAATACTGGGAGCACCTCCATCTTTCTCTGTTGCATGTCTAATACATTTTCCTTGACTTTCAGATTTCAAAACTATTTTACATTGCTGAGACGGTAAAGGTCTAATTATGAGTGGCTTCCAAATGTTTGTGTTAAGCAAGTCAGCTTGTTTCCAAGGTAATGTAGTAACAAATGTTCCCTGTATTTATTGGTTGAAAAGTATTTAAATATACTTGCTTTCTTCCCACCCATCTACTTGTAACAGTCAGGGTCCAACAAGGAAACCACTATTTTTTTTTTTTTTTTAAAGAGAAATCCATGCTGGGAGATAGTTACAGGGGTGATAGAAGAGGTGGAAGCCAAACAAGAGATAGTGAAGCCAAGCAGAGATAAACAACAGCAGAGAGACAAAGGGATGTAAATGGAGGTCCCAAGAACCCAGAGCCAAGGTCACCAGACAGTAGCTGGTACCACAGCCGACCTGTCCAGTGGGAACTGAGCCAAAGGAAAGAAGCAGTCACTGCTGGAGAAGCCATTCAAAGCAGAGAGCTGTCCTGTGTGTACCCTTCCTCCTGCACCCCTACTCCTAACCCCACACTATAGCCTCTGGCCAGTATCTTGCAATGCTCAAAAGCCAGAAGCCAACTAACATGAGAGTCTAAGAATCAGCCTGCAGGCAGGTTCAGCCTCACTACCTTGGAGAGCAGAGAAGAGGATGGGAAATGAAGCTGAGAGCACGCCGAGTTTGCATTTTTCTTGATCATTCTCTGAATTCTCAAAGCTAAAGAAAAAATATTCCTGACAGAAAATCTCTAGCTTACTGGGGAATGGGGAAGATGGAGTTCTGAATGGCTGCAGCCACCAAATAAACTCTGCCCTGCGCCTACCTGCTAACTCGGTACCACTCCCCTGTGGTATTACCAGCCTCTACAGTTCATCCGGCAAAAAGTTGTCCAGTGGGACCCAATGAAGATGGATCCAGGGGACCAGTTGCCTTTTGCTTGATTCTCTTGACGTTGTTTCAGTATTTTCTCATACTCACACAGGAACTATTATGCAGCATTTTATGAGCTGTCGCAAGGGGGAAATGGCTGTGGGATGTGTCCGTGGTTGACAGGGTGCTTTTATCATGTATATCTTCCAGAGCTTTGAGGTATAGGGAGAGAGAAAGAGGAAAAAACTGATGTAAATGAGCGGTGAGTCACCTCTCCCGTCCTCTTTACTAGAGTGAAAACACCTTTTCCTTTTCTTATTTTTTTTCCTCCTTTTTAAGAAGGAAGGCTATACCTAAGAGAAATATTTGGATTATCTAAGGGTGGGGAACAAAGGCAGTTCAGCCGAAAACAGCTGGAATGTATCTGCAATAGGAGTGGACAAAAAACACTCTTTTTGTGCCATCAGTGAATCCTTGCTGTGAGTAAGCCAAAATAGCAACTTCTTTATCTCCAAAACAATTCTCCCTGAGGCCAGTTCCCAGCTTTAGATGCATACCCAGGACACTTCCCAGCTGTGTGGCAGTGCTGAGCTCTTCTCCACTGACCAGAGCCTTAGATCACAAAGGAAGCTGCTACGTCCAAGGACACCACATGCTTGCAGTAGAGGGGGACAGCAGGTCTGGGCCAGTCATGTGGAGATAAGACACTACACTGGTCAATCTGAATACAGAAGGAAACTATTGTCTTTAATATAAGTGACATAACTGGCATCTATTGGGCACTTGCTATGTGCCAGGCTCTCTGCTGTCTTATTGAAACTTCACAACAGCACTTTTTGGTCACCATTCTTATTTTCCCCATTTCCCAGATGAAGATGTTGAGGCTTTGAGGTTGGGTTATTTGTCTAGCATCTCACAGCTAAGAAGTGGCAGATTTGAGACTCAGACCTATGTCTGTCTCTCCCCCAGATCCAAAGTTCTTCCCCTTTATACTATCCTGCGTATCAACTCTAAGGGAAACTCAATGGACAGTTTGTATGTTCAGTGCTAGCCAGCATCGCAAACAATCACTGATCTCATTACCCATGGTTTATGGAAGAGATAGTAAACAGAATCGTTGCTTGTTGGTTCTCTCCATGAATATCTGAGTGCAAATGATCAGTGAACTCTTGTTACCTCTCTAGTCCTAATGACTGAGTCATAGCATATCTGCTGATGTTCTAGAAGCTTCTATGTTCTGAATCTCTTCAGCTACCCAAACCCTAGAGAATAAATGCTCCATTTCTGCAACTTTTCTTCCCAGAACTTCTCAGCTGGAATCCCAGAGATTGGAATCTGTAGGCTGAGATCCTGGCCAGTTCTGGAGTGACTCCTAATCTCATCTTCAGGGAAGGTCATTTATCTTAACAGCTTTTTGCCCAAGATCTTTGTATCTGTGATGGATACTATGGATTTCTATTCTACTCCAACTGGTATAGCTAGACTTTGCTATCATCTCTGCTGCATCACTAGAGCCCAGATGGCTCATGACTAGTGTATAGACTCTTCTCCCTAGAAGTTGACCCTGTCCCTTGAATTCTTATATTTATAGAAGTAAAAGAGTTAGCACAGGATGACAAATACATTGCACATACACTGCTACTTCTCTTTCCTACACCCATAGTTAGGATGATCATTTGATTTATTGTCTGAACCAGGATGCTTGGAGAATGAAAAGAAGGGCTAAATTACATGAAGACAAACAGGTTTGTAAACCAGGGCAGTCCCACAGTAGACAATGCTCATTGATCCTACCCTTCTCAACAGGGATCCAGGCAGCCCTTCAGAGATGGAAACTATGAGTAATCATATAATTGGTACCTTACGACACTTACTGTTTACATGTGCATGCATCTCATTTCATTTTTTCAGCATAGGTTTGAGTGTTTACTCTGCAAATTTATAGATGAGGAGCTATTCACTTTATAAAGAAAAGGAAGATATAATCCTGTTCACAGATTAGAATCTAGTTATGAAGAAAAGACAACATAAAACAAATAAATAACTTTATGAGTACAAATATTCTCTTCCATGAATGAATTTCCCTGGGTAAGAAGACCAGGTAGCAATTTACAAGGCAAGTTAGGCCTGAACTTGAACATTCCATTGGGTTTCACTTAGAATTGATATGAAATATATTCAAGATTTTAGAGTCAGAAAGTCCTAAATTCAAGTCATGAACCTGAATTTACTAGTTGTGTGAAAAAAAAAAAATGTAATATAGGAAGTAAGTCCCAAAGGAGAGGTAATTATGCTTTGAAAGTGGAAAAAAGGAGGAGAATAATTCTGTTTAGAGATGTCTGTCTTACTGTGCTCCTTTATATAATTTCTTCCTAAAAATATTTATTGGGTTAAAAAAATAGCACAGAGGTACAAACAAGAAACAAAAAAAAAAAGATCCACAATCCTATCCTAGATCACCATTGCTGATATTTAAAAACAACAAAAGAAATATAGATACATGATCACAAAGTTCAAATAGTATAGAAAGACACAAGAAAGTCTCTTTCTCCACCCCCAGAATCACTCCCTGAAGTGCCCACCTCTAGTATTTTTTTACATAGTTTTCATAGGAAAAAAAAAGGCATTTATCTGCATTACATACTCTATACCTTGTTTTTTCCCACTTAATAGTATATCTTGGAGGCCTTTCCATCTCCACACATACAAATCTTTATTCTTTTACCAAGAGGAAGAGTCCATCGCAGAGATTATAATTTATTTAACCAGCCATTTTTTTATTTGTTTGTTTTTGTCATGATAAGCAATGCTGTGGTGCATATGTGAGTCTCTTTAAAAGAATATAGCTTAACCTTATAGGCTTATTAAAAGTGAACCTAACTAAGAATATGCACTTTGTCTCCAGAGTCCATTCATCATCTCTCATTGTCCATTCCTGCCAGCTTCTCCTCATTTCTAGTTTCCTGTGTCCTTAATCCCCTGATTTTTCACAGGCCATCTTATCGTCCATGGTTTGCTTAACCCCCTTGATGATTGAACTTCCTTTGGACTTGCTCTCCTGGCCTTGCCCTCAGCATCTTCCCAGGACCCAACTGTAATATCACCTTTTGGCTCCATAACCATCAAATGTGATTGAGAAGCACTCCCTTTGGACACTTGTGATATTCTGATTTATAAATTAGAAATATATATATTTGATTTTCATCCCAGTTCTTGCATAGAGCTACTAAAATCCTTGAAATTTCCTAAGTGACAAGAGCTTTGAAGGTGCCTTTTGTTATGTTAATGAGTAACTTTGGGAATCTTCCTAGATCCCCTAAGGAGAGGTCTGGTCACCAAAAGCACGAACTGTGTGATCAGAGGGTTGGAATTTTCAGTCTCAAAGCCTCTTCCCCAACTCCAGGGAGAGGAGAAAGGGGCTAGAGGTTGAGTTCAGTCACCGATGGCTAATGATTTAATCAGTTGTGTCTGTGTGATGAGGCTTCCATAAAAACTCAAAAGGATGGGGGTTCAGAGCGATCTGGAATGGTAAACACAAGTAAATTTGGGGAGAGTGGTGTACTTGGAGAGGGCATGGAGCTCTGTACTCTTTCCCCATGATTTGCCCTATGCTTCTTTTCCATCTGGCTGTTCCTAAGTTATTTCTTTTTATAATAAATTGGTGATCTAGTAAGTAAAATGTTTCTCTGAGTCCTGTGAGCTTCCCTAGGAATTAATTGAACCCAAGAAGGGTGTTATGGAAACCTTCTATCTATAGCAAGTCAGAAGCACAGGTGATAACTTGCACTGGCATGAAGTCAGGGGAGGGGGTCAGTCTTCTAGGATGGAGCCCTTAACCTGAGGGATCTGGCACTTTCCAGGTAGAGAGTGGCAGAATTAAGTTGAATATAGGACACCTAGCTGCTGTCTGAAAATTGCTTGGTGGTATGGGGAAACCACACACACACACACACACACACACACACACACACACACGTGCACACACACACACACACACACACACACACACACACACTAGAATTTGGGAGACCAGAATCATTAGAACTTGAACCTTGCCAAGTACTCCTATTAGGTGAATGTGTATTTGACAGAAACGTTTCCAAGAGTGAGACTCTAGTTGTCCTTTAAAGGACTGATGGATTTTTAAAAGCAGGACAAAGTCCTCTGGGGAGGACTAAACAATTTCTCCAGATACTCTGCAATGCATGACTCTGTATAAGGCAGGTATTCTGTGAAAAGTCAACTAGTTTAGCAAGATTCCTCTAAGCACCACATTAGTACCTGGAGGCCAGTTTAATATAAATTAAATTGCAATGTATATTCTCAAGCCAGACAAACTGTCTGCAAGATTATTGAGGGCCCAGAGAGTGCCATAATGACCTAGAAACAGAGGCCCAGCGGCACTGACCAGGAGCTTGTGTAGAGTTGATCTCTTGGGAGGATTCAGATGGAGGGTTAAGGATTTTATGAAGAATTATGATTCTCAGTGATGAATGAAGAAAGCTAGAGCAAAACCACCCTGCCAAAAATGAAAGTGTCTTAAAGACTCGACAACAGTGGCAGTTCTGCCTGCCAATGCTGTAGGATAATTTATGAACCACACAGTTCAGAGCGGTTTAACAACCATTACTGAATGATGAATACGTACTTGGAAATGTTATTATTTCTGCAATAGCATAATGATATCAAATTCACAAATTCGAGTTTAGTCTTCTATCTGAGGGTATGAGGAGGCAAATCAATCAGTTAAATATGTATAGGCAGAACCCTACTTGTCGAAGATTCCAATGTTCTATAAAGAGTGAGAACCTCCTACATTTGGAAAAATGTGGAATCTACATGACCAAAGATGGTTTGGTCTAGTTTTTATATTTACCTCATGTGGTAGGAAGACTAACGGCCCCCCAAAGATATCCAGGTTCAAATCCCCAGGACATGTAAATATGTTACCTCATATGGCAAAAGGGGCTTTGCAAATGTAATTAAGTTGAAAACCTTGAGATGGAGAGATTATCTTGGTGAGTCCAATGTAATCACAAGTGTCCTTATAAATGAAAGAATGATGGAATAAGAGAATTAGAGTCAGAGAAGGAGATGTGTGTGATGACCAGAGAAGCGGAGGTTGGAGTGATTTGAATAAGGGGCCATCAGCCAAGGAATGCAGATGGTTTCTAGAAGCTGGAAAAAGGCAAAGAAATGGATTCTCCCTTAG